ATTAACTGAAGCTTTCAGATTTCTAACGTCATTAAGAGTTATGTCCTTGTGGAATGTTTCCTTAACATGCATAATTATTTCATCTGATGAGTGTGATTGGTGAAGAAGTGGTTCTACATTTTCTTTCTCTTCCGCTGATAGTCGTCTAGACCATGAATCATTCTGCATGTACACCCTGGTGCATGGATGGTTGTGGACCATTTTGTGGGATGTTATCACGTATTCACTATAACGCAAAATTACGCGAAATGCAGACAGACAGTTGCAACATTTAGACCTTAAACATACATATTATCATAATACAATTCCTCTTACGACTTGTTTCGCAATTTCAGGCCAGCTATTCCACGGTTTACGCCAAAAGTGCATTTAAAATAAATGTAAGCGTACTTATATCTGTCGTCCCCTGTTGTTTTGCTTTGAATATGCACATAGTGAGTGCAGGACAACTACATTGTTAGCATTAAATGACTTCCTCACTTGTTGAAATTCTCCTAAGGAATTCTCAAATTCCTCCCAACTAAAGAAACGCCTTCCCAGCATAATTTCATCGAAAATTCCACTGACGTCAGCAGTACTTTCACCTGCATTGCCTACCTGCAATAAACTAAAAAGGCGTTGTCAATTAGCATCCATCTGTGTCGCAATATCCATCAATAAAATGCTACATGTATAACCTAAAATCGAGAAAAGCCCTAGAACTCACGGATTCCTTGACATCGCCAGCAACCGATAGGCCAACAAACCGAGTGTATGATAAACCAAGCCTGGTACATGCACAAAATAAGTAAAAGAAAACGTTAGAATACCAACATTTTACATTTATATTCATCAAACATGCTTGCAAACAACGCATGCCGCAACCACGCAAACCTGCACACACCATGACCTACCGAGGACAAATTTAATATCAAACTGGCCGCCACTGTTCTAGCCAATGAAAGCTGAGAAAGCCCTTGAGCGCGTAAGATTTAACACTCTATAACGTATATTATCACCCGAGAAAATGTGTTAGTAGAAACGCAATTGTTTTAGATAGTGGCTCAACCTCAGTTATAACTGTATTGCCACCTTGTAATACAGCGTTAACTACTAGCTCACGAAGTGGCTTGAGTGCACTTCTCACTCCTGTGATACAGGTGAAAGATGTTCTGATAGAGAACTCTGAGTTCCGTAAATTAAACCTTCTTGTGAAAGATATCCAGAGGCAAGTAAGTGAACTTCAGGAAAAATTAGGTCAGTTTGATAGCAAATCACTGTCAGTGTCAAATATCACGGAGAGCCGTTCTGATATTGGCCAGGTTAAGTCTTTACTAGATGTAACTCAAAACAAGCTTGCGGATTTAGACCTAGTAGCCAGTCTGTTAAGAGAACATCCTAAAAAATCTCCAGACATCGTAAATAAGGCTGAAAATCTGATTGACTGCTTGGCTGCGGAGGTGATGAAGCGTATAACCTCTTCTCACCAGGCTATAGTTTACAACGTTCCAGATTCTCTGCCTCTGAATACTGTAAAACACAAAATCCTGATTTGTTGTGGCATGGATAGTGTTCCACGTGAATGCAAAAGACTTCGTAACAAGTCTAACCAAATTAATTGTCCCAACATTTTTAAATTCAGTAATTCCCTTGATTCTAGTAAGTCTACTCAATGTCAGGATCACCTAAGACTGAAGTCAATTGATAAAGTAGTTCCGGCCTCCAACGCTTTGACGAATTACTTGCCGCTATCGATCGTTACGGATGGCAGCAACACGTCCAGACACCCACTCGTGATGACAACATGTTAGACCTTGTGTTTTGTCATGACACAATCCCAGTCTCCACCTATGTTGCTAACAGATTTTCCAGTAGTGACCATAGAATGTTACTCTGCTCTCTACCTTCCTCACCATTAAATACAGGAAACAAACAGGATTCAGGGAGCTTGATATGTCGTAGCTACAAACATACAGACTGGGGATTAGTCCAAGAACTCATCCGACCCCGTCACTGAGATGAGTATTTTACCACTGACTCCCTGGAGGCTGTAGTGTCCCTATTTTACAGGAATGTCATCCTTTGTCTAGATACTGTTGCTCCTAAGATAGTGAAATTAAGTAAACACCAAGCTGAATACATTCCAATGGTATACTGCAATAAGTTAAGGAAGTTGAAGAAACAGTACTATTATTATATATATTTATTCCTGTTTATGCAGGAACATACCAATTGTACAGGCATGGATAAGTTATTATATAAATTACACATGTTTCGATGTATGTTGAATTTACAGTTTGTTTGTTCCTTCTGACAATAGAGTCAGTCGGAACAGTCTGCAAAATAGTCTGTCTTCGCATTAACAAAAAACCCAGACATCAGATGAATGTAATACAAATATCTGGGAAAAATAAAGCTTGAAATCAATTCTCCTATATAACTTTGTTGTGAACAGCATCCTCGAGTTAATGTTCATTGATGGATAATGTTGAGATCATTGATATATTTATTCCAATTTTTTCAGCAGTCTAATCGTAATTTTATAATAGGAAAGAAATTTGATTGTGGATACGAAAACTAAATTAGGCCATGTTGGATTGTTTTACTGCATCCAGTGGGGCCGAGGTCGATTCTAGAACTATCCATTGGCGCCATTTGTGTCAGCATGGCAGACTGTACATGTAAGTTGCGTAATACATTGAAAACTGTTTGAAAACCAGTTGCTTCTTTATTTCAGATCAAGAATACTCTTTGTACAGAATGTTGGCCAGCGTTTTCAAATGATAGCATCGGATCGTTCATGGAATTTGAGTTTGAATTTACTGAAATGGTCATTTCAGTTTAAATGTTGGGTTGTTCGACCTCGACCAGGAGGTATACAGAAGTGCAGGCTCAGGAATATACTCCCAGAAAGAGAAAGTATTTAAACATGAAGAGAACATTAATATTTTATGTATATATAAATGTTTATAAATGTATATCATTGTATAGTAAACATTACCTATAATCTAGTTGTTTTTTCATGTATTTTTGCGAAGTCTTAGAGTTTATTTAGTGTCGTAGTATTTAGTAATGAGTCTAGGCGTTATAGTGTTCTAATAGCTCATGCGTTTTAGAAATAAGTGGTGCGGTGTGATTAGCATGGTCATTGGGATGAAACAGTTTATATGGCAAGCGTTTGAAGGTTATAATAGAGTGACAGGTCCTTATTTCTAGGGGTAAACTGTTCCAGATCTTAGAGTACATGACTATGAAGAAGTTTGCACGGAGTGCTGTCTTACAGTTTTTCCTAGATACTGTGCACGTTTGGTTACGATATCACGAGTCTCTCGAATCTATCAAGCGCCAACGCTCTCAAAAGGACCTCGACGAAGAATTGAGGGCACTTGAAAGCACCTCCAAAGTTTATAACTTAACAACACTTTTTAAAAGACGAATGAAGTCGACAAGGGACATCCCCTATTTACTTCACGACAAAGTTATCTACAATGTGCCTGCCACTATCTGTGAAATATTCAGTGAGTGGTTTGCAAACTTCAGTTTAGAAACGCGCATTCCTGGTGAAGCCGGCCCCCTTACTACCTCTTTCCTCGGAAGCATAGTGTTCACCAACCAATTAATAGAACAAGCAGCTAAAAGCCTTAGACCTTCTACTAGTACGGGGCCAGATGGCCTTGCTTCTATAATTTTCAAAAACAGTGGGTGTGATATACCCCTATTACTTCTTTTAAAATATATATTTCCTATCTATGTAGGACACACCAGTTGTACAGGCATGGATAAGTATTATTTGAATTACATGAATTTGATTTAAGGTGAAATTACATGGTCTCTGTCCCTTCTGACATTAGTTTGTGAGTACAGTCTGCTAACTAGTCATTAAATGGAGCACATTAAGAAGTACAGAAATATTGTCTTCGCATTAACAAAAAAACCAAGTATGTGTTGGATGGATTACAGATATTTGGGAACAAATAAAGCTTGAAGTCAATTCCTCCATATAACTTTGTTGTGTACAGCATCGTATCTTGTTTTATGTTCAAATTGGGTAATAATTTGAAATGAGTGATTTATTTGTATGATTTTGTCAGCAGTTTTATCCTATGCAACACCAGATGTGAATTAAACTGAATGCACATTAACACCGGTTATTGTCAGGCAGATTTGTTTGACTGCGCCCACGTCAGCCAATGCCCGCCATTTGTCACTGCATGGTTGTTCCGTACGAGTAAGTTAATTAACACATAGAAAGCTATATGTGAGCCATTTTAGATCACTGACGGTGCTTGTGTAGAATGCTGCACAGCGTCTTGTTATGGTGACAGTGGATATTCCGAGGATGCTGGGTCATTACTAGCCAAATCTTCAAGGATGATATATGAGTAAGTGATTTCAATTGTTTCTCAGTTTCAGTCGGAATGTAGATCAATGCAACTTGTACTAAAAGGCAAATACAGCAGAAGAGGCGAGCAGCAAAGTACCAGACGGGGCGTTGATAAGGCATATCCCCTGTTTGAAGTGGCGCCTCCAGCTTTACCTTGAGGACATTTGCGCGGTCTAGTTGATTTGAGTTTGGCTGATTCGTTTCGTTTGATCTAGGTATCTGCATTTGACGTGATTCCGGTTTCTGTTTGGCTTGAACTGTATTGATTTTGTTAAGAATAGTCGTCAAAAGCTGCCTCTAGGCCTGAAGGCAGTTATGGTGCAGGAGGATGCTTGAGAATGTGTTTCATGTGAAAATTATAGGGTGCACCTAAAATCCTCCTGTTTGTGGCGTCTCAATGATTTCTGTAGAGCTTCGTTTCTTCACTTGTGTCCATTTTTGTCGTTCACGAGTGTTTCAGTAAATGTTTATGGCTGTAATCAGGAACTTTCCAAAACGGTAACTGTGGTAAGGAATTTATATTTTTTTCCGCTATAGTTTCCAAATCAATGTCTCTTTTAGGTTGCTTACTGTACTCTGTTGGCTATTCGTGAATTTTTTATTGAAAAGCTTCTTTTTTCATTTACAGTGGTACCGAATGGACGCATTGGCACTTGGAGACAATGGCAACCAAGCTGCCCTTCCTATATCAGTGGATATCAAAAAACTCTTTGACGGAATTATGTTTAGTCACCGGTATACCAGTTGGGTTCAAGTAGAAGATGCTCTAAGTCAGCTGGAATCAGTAATATATGTATATATGTATGACAGAGTATTCCTAGGCAACTCATACACATTATGTAATCAAAAAGTGCATACGGGACCATGAATCTCAGGAGTTGAAGTACAAATTAGTAGTCTTTCGTTGTACATATGGCATGAAGCGGAAAACTAGAGGTTCAGGTTTACGCGTCAAACCGTAAGAATTCTATTATTTATTTCTGCAGTGCAAAATACACCGGTTGCCAATCTGGCTTTCGTATACGCTACAAGGAGGACGAGTTTATCATTTCTTCCGCGAAAACAGTTCACAATCACAAATGTGAAAAAAGTCTTATGATAGGTGATCCATATTTTAGACGCCTGTCCGGGGATGAAAAGGAGAATATTGCACCAGTTGTGAAGACTACATCTGAGGTTGCTGATGTTTTGGAATATGCTGAAGAGAATTTTAATAAAATTTTGACGAGCACAGATGTGTATAATTTACGTAAGGATATGAGACCAGGTGATTGAAGTATTTTAAAGTTATTTTTGAAGCCATGCCTTTGAGATCAGATGTTATGCGCATAATAAGGCAAAGCGGTCAGGTGGTTGAATACGTGGATTCGAATACAGGGGTAACCAGCAGAATTTGCTTCGCCCTGGAATCACAGGTTCAGTTATATCGGAAATATGGAGAGGTGGTGTGTATTGACTAAACATACAATACCAATAAGGACGGGTAGGTTATACGTGAAACGGTTGACAAATCTTAATCAGATATTCTCTGTTTCAGTTGGTGGTAACAGACAATATGGGTCATGGCAGGCCTGTTTTTTGGCATGGACGAGACGAGAGAGGTCATGTGATGTAGCTTGGATATTGGAACAATTCCAAAGAATAATGCAGGATACGTCCATTACAGAAACTTTCGTAATGGATTCGGCTAACTGTGAGATATCCGCCGTGCGTAATAGTCAAATTCAGGCGAAAATCGTCATCTATGCGTTTCATGTATGCCGGGCTTTCAGCAGGAAGGTGAGGTGAATGTAATTAATACTTGATGCATTTAGACTCGAAATCCTTTTGTTCGCAGGTTTTTATATCGTCTTGTTAAAGCTGCCACACCTGAAAGGTAAATGCATTGATTTCTAACCGTTTAGATTTCATCACTACCTTAGTGTCATTAGGATGGTCGATCGGAGGGTGTGGAATTATGTCAGGCACTACTGGGTGCCTAAGAAGGAGACGTGGGCTGCGGCATATATGCCGAATACTCTGTTGCTGTTTAATAGTACCAACAATAGAGTTGAAAGCTCTCACAGTCACCTAAAACGATATCTCCATAGAAGAGATCCCCTACACGTATGCATGTACAAGACGTATAAATGGTGTGTACGCACAGAGAAGCGTCGTAGTGTTGAAGTCATCGTCGAAAGTTGTCGGATTCATAAGTACCACGCACCGGAACCAGTTATGCCGATATTAGGAAACTTCACTCCTTATGCCGCTAAGTTAATTGCCAAGGACTATGGCCGTAATAGTCGGATGAACATAGAGTTATATACTGATGATATGGCTATCATAAATGACGGCATATACCTGCACCAAGTGGATTGTACCAATTCTACTTGTACCTGCAGAATATTTAGGGCACAGAGACTACCTTGCCGGCATATGCCGCTATGTCACACTCAAATTCCTCAGTTTACAGGTAAATCAAACTTTTACTAATATTTCAATTAATATTTTTAGTTGACAAAGTAATTCGCCTGTGTCGCAGATGGTTTTGGCAGGATCCGTTGCTACCAAGTCGTGTGCCGTGTGAAGGTTCAGTGAAGAAACCCTGCATGGAGATACTGCAACTTCGCAGGCAATTGAACAGAAGCTTCGCAGTTATGCAGGATAATTATAGTAATGAATATACTATTAGTGCACTGCGAGCAACTCTGAATTACTTTGAGAATTTTCTTGTATAATAATGGAAGATGTACATAAATTTTGTGTCAATAAATGCAAATATACCCTAACTTCTAAACTGCATACGCCTTATGTTTTACCGTTTCATGTGACAGAAGTCTAATAGTCATTTGCAAATATAGTAGAAAGCATTTTCTAGAGAGCAAGTAAAAGTGAGTACTAGGCGGAATCTTCAGTACTTAGTATGAGAAGTAAGGTGAACGTTTTTTTCTTGTAAGTACGCAATGAAAAGATAATGACGAGTTTTTGTAACTAGCATTGTATTTACTATGTAGGTAATGTTATTACATGCATACATTGCTATCACGTGTCTAGTTTGGCGTATCGCCGCATGAGTAACACCAATTGTAGCGTTTTCCAGTCAGTAGAATTTCGAGTTTTCGTACGTCAAACTTTGCGGAAGGTAGATGAAATTAAAGGCTGCTTCTAGACGATCCGTACAACGGCACCTTAGGCAATGTCTACAAAGACAAAATAAGATAATTAGAAGACACGTTAAAATGCATAGGTAAATAAGTTAAGTACAGTTTTGGAATAAGGGAGATTAGTAGTATTATGACAAGGTCTTCAACTCATTTCATTTCTTTCGACTGCTACCATTTCTTGCGTCAGCGTTACTTACTTATAGTTCACTGTAACTTCTTCGTTGCACCCTATTTACACAGTGCAAGGAAATGAGAAAATGAGTGCAATACTTAGGATACAGCAATAATAAGGGTATAAGCAGATTAACACTGCAGTGAGGTGCAACAGTAATAATAATTTGCTTTGTTCGAAAACAGTATTAATGTTTCAGTGTTGAATTCGCAGCATCTCGTACATTATTGTATCTCATTTTATGGAGTAATAACATCTCCAAGGTATTTCATGTTACACTTAGTTTATGTTTCAGTGCACTCTGTGATACAAACATCTTGTGAATGATACATGAGTATTTCAGTTATGCGTACTACTGTATTTAGAACACAAGATATAGATAGGTTTTTCGAACACATAAACTCGAAGGTTGAAGCAATTCAATTCACTTATGAATTGGAAAATCAGGAAGGGGAGCTCCCAATGTTAGATTGCAACGTAAAGAGGAAAGAAGATGGAAAGTTAAACACTAGTGTGTGTTTACAGGAAACCCACACACTCAAACAGATATTTGGACTTCCAATCATCACATCCTATGTCAGTAAAAATAGGATTGGTGAAATGTTTAAATGACAGAGCACAAAAATTAAGTAGTACCAAAGAAAATCTAAAACAAGAACTGATACATATAAAAGAAGCCTTAAAACTTAATAATTACCCGGATAAATTAGTCAGGAAATATGTAAGGAAATGTAAAAATAAAATGAATAATAATAGTAGCGATAGTGATAATAACAATAATAATGATAATGATAATAGTGATAATAATAATATTAATGACGACACCAACAATAAGGAATCAAAATCATCAGTAGTAATTCCATACAAGGAAGGAACCTCAGAAGCTTTACGCAGAATTCTCAACAAGGCAGGAATAAAAACGGCATTCAAACCCACAAACTCAATTAGAAACAAGCTTTGTCGGCTAAAGGATCCTATAGAGCCTTTAAAATAAAACAATTTAGTTTATCCAATACCCTGCAATGATTGTCAGGTCAAATACATAGGTCAAACTAGTAGAACAGGGGCAGTCAGACTAGCTGAACATAAAAACTTGGCAAAATGTAGATTGGTTGACCCGAATAAGATAAGAAATCTAGAGAATAGTTCAGCTATAGCACTACATGCAGTCACACACACACAACCACACAATAGGATTACAGTTTTAAAATCTAATGTCACAGGGTATAGGGAGAGATTGATAACAGAAGCTTTGTTTATCGAATCAACTGCAAATACATGTAATAGGAATGATTCATCACCTGCCCCCGATATATGGAAAATTCTACTCCCCCTACGACAAATTGGAGAAAACAAAGAAAGCTATAAAACTCAAGTGTCAAAGTCGTGTGATCACAATTGATATGATTATGAACAATAAATTTTGTTCGAAACGTCATCCAGTAAATAATACTGTTTCACTGTGTGATATACCTAATAAACAAACTAATATGGAATGCGTACTTAAGCTTTAAAAAAATCACTCATCTAATTCACTTCTATTAGCACTAATTCTTATGTCCGTGTTACTGACTTTCGGTTTATGTTTTCTTCAGTGCACTTTATCTGGACAATTTAAGGAATTGGGAAATGCATTGAGTACTTAAGAAACGGCATTCATAATTGTTTGTGCCAATTAACACTATAGTGAGTTGTGACACTAGGCAGCTGCAGTGACAAAGCCGACTGACTGAGTTTTAACATGGAACTCCGTGGAGAAGTGCAACTTTTGAGATGTAACGGGACAGAGTGTAAAAGTTATCTCGAGTAGGAGGAGAAATTATTGTAAGACAACTCTTTTTCAGTTAGACGAGAACCGAATAAAAAATGCGATTATCATTTGTTGACATTTTGCTTATTTTTATCCACGTTTTAGCATTTCATTATACCTGGACTACAGATCATTCTGACAGACTGACTTTCAACATAGAAGCTTGCAAACAAGTGCACCTGTTTACGTTATCACATTCCATGTAGCACACAAAGGTAGAGAAAAAAGAAATCAAATGGAACTCTAATGAGCATAAATGTCATGGAAAACGAAGAGTGATATGGAAAGAACACAATGGTGGCTCAGATATGTAAGATTACACAGAGTGAATGCATCTGTGTTATAAACAACGTTTGAAGTCACATTTCTACTTAACACTAAGCTTCACCCCAATATTACTCACCATTTTAGACTACTTAACACAGAAGAAAGGGCACAGACACTGCGATCAAAAACCAGTAGTCTTTTCGTATCTTCCAGTTTCAATGGTCACTTCTCACAACCTAGGTGGACACTGTCATTAGCATACACTAAGTTGACAAGACTTTTCCCTGGTAAGTCCCTGAAGTGAGTGACACACAATTTTGTTAATACATGTATGATGAAAGTGAACTAAAATAAGGACGGCAGTTGTAGAAATGAGCCTTGTATTATATCTTTCTTGGAAATATCAGTTCCCTCATAGTTTAGTTTCAGTATTAAGTGAATGGAATGCAATCTACAGATTCATGAAATTCACCTACTGACGTACTACTTTTCTGGAATCATAGTTAATGTCTCCTCATTAAAGTGAGCAATGGGTATTGTACTTGTGTAAAATCAATAGGCTGTGAACCGCTGCCGATGAAAACGACAGAAATTCTTGGAATTATCAGTTATAATTTCAGCTGGATCACATGCAACACTCGGCAGTTGTTAAGTGGTCAATTCATGAACGTGGAATCCATACAGAAAGCGCAGAAGATTTAGTACAACATGCACACTCCTGATTTCACTATTCAGCATGCACGCCAAATGCATTACTTTAGGGGCCTACACACTTCACAAATTAACTCACAACACTGAAGTGGAGAAATTCATATTTGTCCTTACTGAGCTTAATATAGCGGTTCTTGTGAAGTAACTTTCTTATGCAGAAGAGAAGAGCAAGGTATTCATAATCTTCTGCTACATGTGGAATCGCAGTGCAACTCGATGCGCAACAGTATATATACAAATAAACTCAAAAATGAAGTCCTCCTGGTGACACATTGTGACATGATAGGAAGTGAGACTGTCAGATCACCAACGTATTTGACGAAGTTGCTCTCATTAGAAAGAGAAAAGTCATGT